ATCCAATTCTCTTTCTAAAACCTCCGAAAAATTTTCCTTAATTTGGTCTTAACCCTACCTATTTCGATTTGTCTTATTCTGTCTTAAAACGCACTTGTTGTAATTTGACTTCAATTTCTATACCGTCCCAAGACTATTCGTCACTATCACAGTACTCTCCGTTAGTGTCCTAAGACCCTTGTACCAAGACCACTGTTCCAAGACTACTGTCCCAAGACTAGTGTCCCAAGACTACTGTCCCAAGACCAGTGTCCCAAGGCTAGTGTCCCAAGACTACTGTCCCAAGGCTAGTGTCCCAAGGCTAGTGTCCCAAGACTACTGTCCCAAGGGTAGTGTCCCAAGACCAGTGTCCCAAGACTACTGTCCCAAGACTAGTGTCCCAAGGCTAGTGTCCCAAGACTACTGTCCCAAGACTAGTGTCCCAAGGGTAGTGTCCCAAGACCAGTGTCCCAAGGCTGGTGTCCCAAGACTAGTGTCCCAAGACTAGTGTCCCAAGGGTAGTGTCCCAAGACCAGTGTCCCAAGGCTGGTGTCCCAAGACTAGTGTCCCAAGACTAGTGTCCCAAGACCACTGTCCCAAGACTGTCCCAAGACCACTGTCCCAAGACCCTGTCCCAAGACCACTGTCCCAAGACCCCTGTCCCAAGACCCTGTCCCAAGACCACTGTCCCAAGACCCTGTCCCAAGACCCTGTCCCAAGACCCTGTCCCAAGACCACTGTCCCAAGACCACTGTCCCAAGACCCTGTCCCAAGACCACTGTCCCAAGACCCTGTCCCAAGACCCTGTCCCAAGACCACTGTCCCAAGACCACTGTCCCAAGACCCTGTCCCAAGACCACTGTCCCAAGACCCTGTCCCAAGACCACTGTCCCAAGACCCTGTCCCAAGACCACTATCCCAAGACTGCTCTGTCCCAAGACTTCTTCGGTCTTGTCCCAATACTCGTCACGGAGTGTCTTCCTCGTTGTAGGGTCTTCTTGAACCACCGTACCTTGTACCACCACTCAAGCTCTAGTAAAACTTTCCCAAAAACCCTCTCTTAAAAGCCAAATGCTGACCCCCCTCTTCTTTTTGGTTGTTTCTATTTCAATGTAGGTGCGCAGGTATCTTGTGATCACCTGTTCGTATAAAACCAAACACAAATCCTCAATAAAATGCAACAAAAATTTTAAGTAAGAAAAATAATAAAAACAGAAAAATGAGCCCACCTAAAATTTAAAGGTGACCAATGTCTACCTTTCGTCTAAAAAAAATGTCTGGTACCTAATTGCCACGCGTTTTCCTCCCCCCACTAGTGATCTTATGGGGTATCACAAAAGCTGTCTATATCCGGTCCCCCCTACCAAACCAACCAGCGTACCAGCCTTAACTCGAGTTGGATTTTGGATCTCCACCTAATATTACCAACGCGTGTTAATTTCTAATGTAACTAAGTCAACGATGTCGACTAATTAGTTACTCTAATTTCCCCCTTTTTGCAATTTACAACCGCCAACCTCTAGCCTAACCAGTCCCCCTTCTAACCTCCCCCCTTTCTAGCCCCCCTTCTTAAGCCTAAAAATTACTTTAAGCGCCGGGTGCTAAACCTCTCAAGAGAAAACCGTAGACCTGTTTCCAGGCCTGCTCAAGTAAAAACGTTCCTCAAAACTGGGGGATTTCGCTTATCCAATTTTACACTTATCTCCTATAATGTAATGTGGATTCTAACGATACCCGTTCTGCCCAACTTGAGAACTCGAGAATTGCCAAATCCTTCTTGGCTGCTTTCCCACTCGACTGGTCACCTGTTCCAGTCCAGTCTCCTATTGGTTCAGCCAAGTGTCCCTGAACCACTTTCCCACTCGGCTGGTCACCTCTTCCAGTCAAGTCTCCTATTGGTTCAGCTCAAGTGTCCCTGAACCACTTTCCCACTCGGCTGGTCACCTCTTCCAGTCAAGTCTCCTATTGGTCCAGCTAAGTTCCAAGCTATCTGAAAACCCTTGACAACGCCCCACTTCGGGCACTTTATTCAGTTTACTGGTTTAAATTGCTAGGTTGATCGAAACGATCGAACTTGTAAAACAGTATGGGTATACTATTTAATTAATATAAAGGTTTGATCCAACTAATCTGGTGTCAAAGTCACTGTCTTTTTTCGTTTTATGGTTTTTGTTCCTTTTTCTATTCTTTTTTGGTTTTTGTTTTGCTTTTTGTCTTTTTGCTCGTGTTTTTGTCCCCCTAGTTGCCCCCCTTTACTCGGTTAGCTAAGCCTCGTTCGGAGAGCGTACCAGGAAATTTTCTCGAGTTTTCTTAAAAAGCTATCACGGTACAACCGGAAGGTTTGCACGTTCCTGTCGAACCGTACCGCCGGTACTCTAGAATGGGCATTCAGCCCGAAGCAGTCTCAAGTGGGTTCGACTCCGTAGTCTTGATGTCGTAAACACCCAGGAGCGCCATAAAAACACTATGTAACATTCGTCTACTGCAGTCACACATGAGGCTTAAGAAAAATAGGCCCTATAACCACTGGCTCAAGGGTCAGGGACACTATCTCTTGTGTTTTTCTACCTCAAGAACGGTCGGAGCCAGTTCGGTTCGCTTGTGACATGAGACTACGACCCGTTACAGCTTAAAGGCTACTACTAAAATATCCCCCCACTCTAGAATTAGAAACGTCCCCATACTTAGGTCTCTAGATACCCAAAATACATGAACGCCGTTAAAAACCGGGTTGGAACAATCCGTTAAGTTACTTTTTATTAGACAGTGGAACTTTGATCCATTTCAGATGGATCAACCTAAAACTCGCCTTACCTCAACATAACAATTATAAAACACACTCTAGAATTTAAATTAAGTACTCACATTGTAGCACGCTCAAGAACCAGGAAGTAAATAAGTCGATAAACAACTCAAGAATTAATAAAGTAACTAATATGAGTTTAATGTTAGTCAGTTTCAACAACAAGAACAAGTTTTTACTCTAGACTGCAAGTTCTCGTGAACCATTGGGACACTCTAGCTGTCCACCTTTCCACCGAAGGTTCACTCTGGTCCAGTCAAGAATAGTATTCCAATCGTAATAATCCAACTCGAGGGAATGCTCTCGTCTCTGTCACAGATGGGACAGCTCTACTCTCGATTATTATAGTGATGGAAATTGCGAATAGCAATTTCCTACTGTTTTTTCTTGCGACTTTCCCGCGTGTGTGTCTTAATCGTTCTGAAATCGTTCTGAAATCGTTCTCTGATTTTCAGTTCTCGCGAGAAAATCGTGCATGACAGGTTCCATTCGAAACTTTGAAAAATTAAATTTCACTCCAAAATCAAGTGTTTTTTGCTTCTCTCAAGGTCAAACTTCCAAATATGACCGACTGGCACAAGAACGTTATTGGAACGATCGGCCAAACGGCGAGGGCTAGAATATTCTGGTATTTTAAAATTTTAAAAATTCGAATTATGACGTCATATTTCTGAGAAACGTCAGAAACGGCCATTTTGGCTAAAACGAGAAAGAAGAACACAACAACATTAGTTGCGCGGACGATAACTACGAGAATCGTGATAAAAAAGACAACAGCAGATTGCAGGAACAGCAGAGAACGTTCCGAGTTGCAACTATTGTGTCGCTACAATAGTTGCAAGGCCGTTGCAGACGACAGTGAAGGGTGGATGACAGCCTTTCGGATTAAGAAGAAATCAAGATTAACGAGCTTGATTCAGTGGATTCAAGAATCCGGAAGGACTTCGGAACTGAAACTTTTAGCCTGTTATATAGACTTTTAGCTTCTTGTCATGTCCTGATTTGAATTTAATTAACATCTGGATTCATTTTGATAAGGATGAGAAGCTAGGAGTTGGGGGAAAGGGTTGATCCATCTTCGATGGAGATGATGATTTTTATCTACTGAACAAAAACAATAATAATATAATAAATAGTAGTAGCCCTGTTTTTAGGAGTGACCTCGTGGTCTGGGGATACTGAGACCCAGCCATGAGCTCACTATTTCTGCATGTAATCTAGTTAATTTGAGTGTTTTGACCGAAGCCGAAAGCAGTAACGTTTTTGTCGACCCGATGCTGGAAAAGACCACCGAAAGTACTGGCTTGGTAGAGACGGTGAAAAGCATGCAAAGCTCTGTTTAGACGTTAGCCAGTCGTCTTAAGACTTAGTTTTGTTTTCCGTCGATATGTATCTTCCGGGCCGTCCGCATTTTGAGCCTAATCGAAGTTCTATCGCAATTCTGAATTGTTGGTTCGACAGTTTTAACCTTATATTTTTTGTACGGGATGACGTTCAACCATTTGGAGCCGAATCTATCTTGGAACGAGTTGAATCTTTTTACGTCCGTTGGCTCGCGTCGTAAAATCAAGTCTCCAATTTCGCTGTCAAAAATTGGCTCTGTCCAATTTTTTTGGAGTTCATTTTCCGCAGCCATTTCAAGTTTTCCAAGTTCAAACCACCGTTTAAGCGCATCATCATAGGTTTCATCTACATGCTTCAAACCAAAGATTTCGCCCAAAGCATTGTTTGCTCCTGCTGAGGCTAAGAAAGCGGGTAAAGCGAGTAGACGAGCGGAAGAAACTCCCAAGCCACCTTTCGCTGCCGGGAGAACTGCTTGTAAAAACTGGTTATCATCCATTTTCACATTAGTGACCTTGCATAGCGAATTTCTTAGTAATTTGTCGTAGCGTTCCAAAAAATCTTCAAACCGGCAGCATCGAGTTTAATTTCAATCAGATTAATTCTAATCATGTTTTCATCATTTTGACTGGAATATATGATGAGAGTACTCCTGACTGTAGCCTCTGTTAGTATGGTGCTTGTTGACCTTCTGATTATTAATAAAAAATTAAGAAAAGAAAAGAATGTAAAAAACAACTCAAGCGAGGTTAAAACGACTCGACAGATGGTGTATATGCCATCCATTTATGACTGTTCCAAACGAATGGAGTAATCAATAAATAACTGTGAGTTACTTTCAAAAATTAAAATATGCATAATTGTGTATTGCAGATCTGATGAAGAAAAAAGTCAAATTCCTTCATGGAGTTTTATATTGAGTTTATACGAAATGAATTTAAACGATAATGATATCGTCTCTGTTTGGAGTAGCAGCTGCCAAAGTTAATTCTCTGTCAGAATCGATTCAACAGCTGAACCCCACAGAGACGTTAGAGAATGCCCTGAAAATACCCCAAACGCCCGTGCCTTCTAATGCCCCACCACCGGCAACTACAACTCGGACAGGAGCGACCCCAGCACCTGTGCCGACAGCAGTTCACCAACATCAGCCGCGAACCGTTTCAGCGTCTGTTCCAGGAGCTTCTGCGAGATCAGCATCAGTGCCTCCTAGTGTTCGGAAACCTCTGAACTCGCACGAAGATGGTGCGGCTCAGTTACCACCTCCGCGGACACTAACTCCAACCGAGAGGCTGCAAACAGATGAAGAGAAAATTCCATTACCCGATCTTTCAGGACTAAGCCCCGAGGAACAGAAGAAGATTTTGGCAGTACTCGAGAGACAATCGGATGAATCGGCCTCAGAGCAACAAGCTTTAGAGTAAGTTTTTTTTTGCGAAATTTCATGTTGCAACTTCTACAACTAGTAACGTACCCTTTCTATTTACAAGTAACGTCCAGATAAATTACGGTTAATTTAAGTGTCACGATTTTAGTAGTCATAAACGATCCCTGAAGTAGCTGCGACAGTTCGTCGAATGTAACTAAAGTACCCTTGTTCGTCATCAGATAGCAAAGCTTAAGTTCAATTCTAGTCATTAAATCGGCTGATATGCAAAAAATTTGAAGTTTGAATTAAACTTAACTACAGTGTTGATATAGTTGCCACACAGAAAAGCGAACTAAGCTTCCGAATAGTATGTATAAGATTTTTTGAAACTGTGAGTCCTTTGGAGTGAATGTTTGTGAATCAAAATTCAGGACGTCGTTTTTTGTTATTGTTTGAATCTCAAGTGAAATTGTTCGAATCACAACTCGAGACAAAGTTTTTTGGGAGTGCCTATTTTCGCATGAAAAATGATCCAATTTAAAGTTTTACTAATCCATGAGTTGTCGGAACCAAATCATTCGTATTTGGATATTTACACTTGTTATCAGCATTGTGTGTTATTACGAACCTTCCTTTTTCTAACTTAACTCGAAAATAAAAAAGGAATTTTCTTTGCTGCATTGGAAATTGCATAGCATGTTCTCTGCTTTATTTTTTTGTGGCTATGGTTTGGTGTCTATTAAGCTTCCGTGGCTCTTGGTCGCAGGTTTGAATCCAGAGGTATATGAGTTTTTACTAATTCGAGGCTTATTTCTAACTACTTCGAGGGTTCGGTTCTAAAAAAAGATCCAGTTTCAATTATTATGGGTAGTAATAATATCGAACTAAAAATTTCCGGTTTGTATACTTGAGTTTTCAGTGGTAGCGTTATATGCCATCATGCAATGAAGATCAATCTATATAATCTGCATAAAGTTATGGTTGTAATCTACATAAAGTTATCGGTTTAAATCGAGATATACCGAGATTTAATTTGTCGTCTAAGTTTATCACTGTTTTTCGTTACAACTATGATATTTTGATATGCACATGCAAGGTTACAGTCAATTTTGTCCAGCTATCAAGGTTTTTAGATTTTTTGCGGAGTTGACGTTGAACACATATTTTTCTTATCGATTTGACTGAGTTCATGTGCGGCTTTAAACCGAATTGGTTATCCAGATATTGCTTTGATGTAGTAGTAGATGGCTCCCGAGATCAAAGCAGTCGAATAGCAAATCAGAAGTATTCTGTCTATCAGAGCTGCTAGCATCTTCCATCCGACCTCGCTGATATGTTCGGATTTTATAGCACGCTCAGTATCATTGTTATAGTTGCTCCAAGCTTGTTTCTCTGCTTGTTGCTGCTCCTTATTTTCGGACTTAGGTTTGGCTTTTGTTTCGTCTCTGACATTCAATCGGGCAATGAAAAATAAAGTCATGATTCGACTGCTTATGACCGCAATTATGCATCGTGGAACTGCTTTACAAACTGGGGTGTAATGTATTGAAGACGAAAATACACTGACAATGAGTGAAATCGAAGCCAGAATGATCAGAAAGACTACTAAGGATCCCGCAATTGGAAAGTCGTCTTCGGTGCTCGGAGGCAAAATGTCAGACAGAACCAGAAGTTCCACAACTTGAGCCAGTAAAATCGTCACAGCCAATGAAATCTTTTCTCCTGACTCGACCGGAAGAATCAGAGCCAGTATTGACATGGCTCCCATCATGATTGCAGGGATGATTATGACAGTTACGTAAAAGGTAGGGTTCCGCTCGAATATGAAAACGTACTCAATGGCGTCGAAGTTCCAGAAGTCGGTGAAGTTTTTGAACGTTCGATTGGTCATGAAGTAATTGACAGGTTCTACGAGATGCCATTGGCCACTTTGTTGGAATCGTTGCAGGTCCATATGTGTGGGATGAGAGAATGCTGGATCTATTCCGAGTCTGTATGAATTTTGAGTGGCGCCCCATTGCCCAATGGTGAATCGACATTCCTATAAAAACGATTTTTCAAGGTTGACGGTATTGTAGGGTCCCAACTGGTGAATTCAGATAAAAAAGAATCAAGAGGACTTGTTTGGTGGTAAATTTAATGCTATGATGCCGTGCTTTCGATTGAGAAACATCTATCTAGTTCTTACCTGGGAGTCGAATGGAAAGTACTTGACATTGACACTGCATGTCATCTTGACGTTAATTGAGCTGCTCCTAGGAGCCACCAGACCATTGAAGACAATCATCTGTTCCAGAAATCCGTCATAGATCCATTCCGTTGCGTCAAAGGGAATTATATCTGGCGTCCACAGACTCCTAGGAGGCAGTTGCAATTCAAAGACACCATTGACTGCCGGATCCCAAGCTATATGGGGGAGATAGTAGAAAATGTAGATCCAGAGTTTGACGTTGATAGTTCCCTCTTTCTCGTCAATTCCCAGCATTTGGTACAGGTCAACGTAGAGGTATACTGTATTGTTTAGCATATTGGTATGAGGAGTATGGTTCGTGGTTTGGTTTAGAACTGAACTCACGAAACTTCGCTCCTCAAGCGAGTTTAAACAGCATACAGTGGAAATAAAACTCAAAAAAATTAGCAGTTGCGAAAGGCTAATTATCGAGCACATTTTGTTCTTCAAAAGATTTTAAAAACTCATTAATTTTGAGCGAACGTTAAAGTTTAATAAGTTTTCAACAAAACAAAATAAAGATCAAGATAACAGCTTGAGCAAACTTTTGCTTCATTTAGTTTCATTTATAATTCATGTATCAAAGTTTTTTATAGCCTTTCGTTCGTTTTTGCGTTTCTCGAGTTTTTCATTCTTTCTCAAGTTTTTGTCATATTAACATTAAGTGTTTAAGTGTTTTTTTGTGAATTTTCTGAATAATATCTAAGTGCAAAAAAGCATAGTTTTTTTTCTAATATATTTGATTTATTACGTCAATTCGTGATTTTCAATTTTATTGATTTGTCATGGTAGTTCGCATAAGTTCAAGAGTTCAGCTGCGTTTTGGAATTCTTTGATCAGAAAAAATCAAAAGACAAATCTATGAATTTTTACCAAGAAGTGAATAATTCAAACAATTTTTTGCGATGAAATTATTTTTATACGATTCAAAGTTAGTTTTGAATATCTAGCTTGTTGCGGCTGTGTAGAAATAAGCTGACCCAGCTATGAGAACTATTAAATAGATTATGAAGAAAATCCGGTCCACGAATTCAGCGAACATTTTCCAGCCTATCGCGTTGATTTCCGACTGTAGCTCAGATTTGATAGAATTTTTAGGGTCAGATTTTGGTTCCCCGGACTCTGGATGAATTTTCATTTTCGTAATGGTAGATTTTGAGTTCACTTTAGTTTCAGCATACGTGTTCGGTTCTTCATTTGCGCTCTGCTTTGATTCCGCGTTGGTTGTTTCTTCGGTTTTTCTGCAGTTATCCAAGTTGAGCTTGGCGATGAAAAGTATGTCCATGACACGACTGCTTATTACGCGAATCATCCATTGGGGAGCACATTTGCATGTCGGCGTGAAATAAAGAGCACTCACCAGAACACAAACGACAACAGCTACAGAGGCGAGAACAACGAGGAAAATCACGAGTGTGCCGACGATCGGGAAGTCTTCGGCTGTGCTCGGCGGAAGAATGTCGGATAAAACGAGCAGCTCAACGACTTCGGCTAGGAGAATAGTAACAGCTAGTGACACTTTCTCGCCGCTTTCTACTGGAATTACGAGTGCCAAAACTGATAGAGCTCCCATCATGAAAGAGGGAATTACAATGACGGTTACGAAGAATTCGGGATGTCGTTGGAGCTTCAAAACGTACTCAATTCCCTCAAAAATAAAGAAAGTTGAATTGTTGAAAATTCTAGGCTTGAGATAGTATTTGACAGGTTCGTTAAGATGCCACTGGCCGCTCTGTTTGAACATGTAAAGGTGCATCTCCGAAGGGTGTGAGAAATCGGAGTCTATTCCGACATGGTAAGAATTGTTTGTAAGGACCCATTGGCTGATCATGAAGCTGCATTCCTGAAACATTTTTTTTGAATTCCTTAATTAATTCGGATTATCTGGCAATGGATAAAAAAGGTTAAGGTCTTTATCAGATATATGTAGATTGGACAATTAGAACATACCGAAGTTAATGTCCAAAACATCTAACGAAACCAAAAAACCTGATATCAGACTCAAGAGAGTATTAGTTAATTTCTCGGAAGTTTCTTTGGTGCCTTAAAGTTCACAGGATTTAGAAATATGGGGGTAGTGCTCCGGTTATTTTTTGAACCAATCGTTTGTTAGCTTTTGGTGTACATTTAGATTTGTCGGGGTAGCTTTTTGATATGCCTCTATCCGGTTCCTAAGGTGTTACTGAGACTACAGGTACAAGTTACTGTTAGTAAAGGCAGTAACCATTGAGTGAACAGATTCAAGAAGTTTGAATAAATGGTCAAAATATGATTTCCTGTGGAAATTTTCAAAATCTATGATCAAAGGCATGGTCGCTTAAGATTCATGATGCTAGAAGTGGTCATCAGCGACGCTTCATTGGAAGCAAAAACATAAATCGAGTTAAACGTTCAAAAACCTGGCTTTCATTTAATTCGTTTTCTGCTTTTATAAGCTTTTTGCTTCTTTCATCGAGATATTGGGTTCTTTCAATTATGATCCTAGGTCGAGTTGTTACCTTCCATTTACATGATAGCTCACTGTTAATATTTTGATGCAAAATTTTATATGAGGCTTGTGATTCTGCTGGGGATCAGTCGAAAAGATTCTTTGTTTGCCCTATTTTTTGTACAGTGCGTTAACATTCAGTGTGTAGGATGAGGTTTTGCCTGAATATTTTTTTTCAAATCAATAGTATCACTGAATGCTCAAATTCTAAGTAACTTGTATTTTCTTTAGGGTTTACTCGTATGTCTAGTTAATTTGCCCTCATTTAATAATTTTAGCAAATATTCTGCAAATTTATCAATTTATAACATACGTTTTTAAGAGTAATGAACGTAGTGACTACTCGTATAAAGGTCTTGGTGATTTTTTTTTTCAGGAAAAGTCTTTAAATTTGTACACGCTCAATTTTGATTTTTTCGCGGTTTGATTTTTGACTTATTGAAAGGAAGGCAAATTAAAAGGTCACGAAAACGCCTTTATGAAACTCAAAGAGCTTTAAGAGCATTTTTCCTTTAACCGAAAGTCGAAGGTTTCTCAAAAAAAGTCACTTTTTTGTTTTTCTTGCTCTTTTCCAATTGTCAGTTGGCTATTTTTTTTGAAAAATGATCAAGTTGTTAAGGCTAATGCACGAAATTCTGTCATCCTAACTGCCGACTTATGTTTTCATTCAATTTTTAAAATTAGTTAAGATTAGTTCAGTTTTCATAGGTTTTTGATAAATCTAAGTGGATATTTTTCGCCAAAAACCAATTTCATCAATAAATGGTCGGATTTTCTTTTCGGTATTATGGTTACCTGTTCAATGTTAGTCTTATTTGTCGATTTTTGTTTTAAGATTATTGCAGTATTCCCCTGAATTTTTTTTTGGTTTTAAATGGTTTCGTTCCGTTGCAATGCTTAACCCCATCAGTCTTTGGCTAAAAACCTTCGAACAGTTTGTAAACGTTTTTTGATGATTTCCTCGTTTTTTTCTGCGAAGATGTTCTGTTTGAGTTTAATTCATATTCAGTTGTTAAAGGAAATTAAGTTCTGCACTCGAATAGCAAAAAATTTAATGTTGGGAAAAGACGCCAATGACTTCAGTTTCAAAAATGGATTTTAGATTTCATAGTTAAAAATTACCTATTGATCCGCTTTTATCTCAAATTGGGTCATTTATATCGAACAATTATTCTTAATACTTTGTTGAATTATAAACAGCTTAAATTTGCATCTATATATATTTTTATGAATCGCTGCAAAAATAATCTGTCATTTTTTTTGGTTCTGGAGGTCATAAACAAACTGACTACTGGATCTGTTTTTCTACCGCAAGTTGGGCGTAGCTAGCTCCACTTTGCCTCTTTGTATAAGTTTGTCACTGAGACAGTTCTATTTCGCCATGATTCAGAAAAGCAGACTTATTTTCAATACTCGGTCTAATCCAGAAAATTTTCTAAATGGACCTTGGTTTTGATTAGTTTCTGGTTTTTGCCCTACAAAAGGGCTCGGAATGAATACAAAAACTCTTCTGAATTTTGTCTGATGTGAATGGCTTTCAAAACTGGTGCGGTTTCGCAGCTTTGACCGCTCAATCTTTCCAAACGTACCTGACTGTCGTAAGGAAAGTACTTGACTGCAATTGAGCATGTGATTTTAGCATTGATCAGTGAGCTCTTACTGATGACTAGTCCGAAATAAGTGATGGTTTGTCTGTCGTAGACATCTGACACAAACTCGGTCACGTCAAAAGGAACCAAGTCAGGAGTCCAAACTGAAATTATTTACAACTATGACAGATGGGACTTTAAAACATCCATGAAACCAATCAAGGTGTAGATTCGAAAACTCAACTAAGTTATTTATTAAGAGTAATGAACGTAGTGAAAACTCTTATATAGGTCTTGCTGATTTTTGTTTTTTTTTCAGGAAAAAGTTTTAAAGTTTGTTCACGCTCAATTTTGATTTTTCGCGGTTTGACTTGTGATTTCTTTTTAAGTTCAGTGCATTTCCATTGTTAAAAAGAAGGAAAACTCCACTATCGAAAAGCAAAAGTAGAAAGGTCACGAAAAACGTGATCGACTTCTGATTTCGAAAATGGAAATTAATTATCAGATTTCCCAGTGAAATAAAAGTTTTACGTGTTGATGCAGTTTTCCGAAAATGGGTTAATTTTGTCAAAAAAGCGCCAATCATAAATCGTTCTAGAAGTTAAAGAGCTTAAAGGGCATCTATTTTTTCATTGAAAATCGAAAGTTGAGATTTTTTCAAAGTCAGTGTTTTTTATTTTACTTGCGTTCATTACTCTTTTTCAATCTTCGGTTGGCTATGTTTTGTTTTTGAAGCTTACTTTTAATTCATATTGTTTACCCTTTCAATAAGCAAGGGTGTTGCAACCGGGTTCTAGAGTTTTTCCCCGGTAAACAACGTTGTTCACAGAATAGACGAAAGAAAACGTAATCAGTATATTTTATAGACTCTGAATTAATAGCATGTTAAGAGTAGTGCGTTGGCTGCATATGTGCTTTGTTTGCATGTTAAGAGTTGCAAAGTAATTTTCATCGGTAGATTTTCGGGGCTGAGGTTGATCGGCTTCAATTCTATCGGCCTATTTTGCTATTGTTTTTGTTCAGTTTTTGTTGGTGTTTTATGAAAACGATTGAGTGAACTGTAACTAGGAGTTTTCGTAAACCATTCTTGTAAGCCCACCGTAATAAATTTGGAAAATACAAACATGCAAAATTGTCAGAGGAGATACTTGAAAAAATTGTTATAGGTTTTTTTAGTATTTAAGAACTTTGGTCGAAATCTGTGTTATTTTGGCTGCGCGAACTGCTTTATTTATTACGCTTGTGATTAGCAAGCCTTAACATCGGAATTTAGATTTTTGCGTGTTAACTTGCTTAATAAAAAAAGCCGCTTGCACAATTTGGCCAATTTATTTTGAAGGTAACGGGCATGCTTGAGATGACAGAGGTTGTGTGTTCGATACTGGCCAGGAGCTGATTTTTCTATGAATATTTAATTATCCTTAAAAACTTTGAATGTTGGGCTTTTTTTTTGTCAAGTTACTTTCCAAACCATGCAATTTTCTTCCGGTTGAAGCAAGTTTTGATAGAACTGCATGTTTTTGTTTTTTTTTCCTGTAGTTTGTAAATTTTCGTCCACTGGTTTTGTAAAGTTTCCTTTTTCTTTCCTTTTTACGTGTTTTGCTCAAGAAGTTTATTCGGCTTAAATAGTTTGAGCAAATGTGATATCGACGTAGCCACCTTATAATGCGTCGTTTCAAGTGCAAATTTCGATTTTTAGGCTTTTTTGTGTTTCAGGAGGGAGTAAATTTTCGAGTCAAATTTTTTATAGCCGAAAAAATTTTGTTGTCGGTTCAACGATTGTCTACTCAAGTTTTGTCGGCTGAGGTGGCGCTCAATAAGTTTTTCTGAATGGTTATTTAAATGCTGTTGATTGTGTTTTCGGAATGTGTGCTTAAAATGAACATGATACAAGTTTTTCTGATAGTTTTTTCCGTAGATATAGATTTTTTCGGCATACTGGCCTTCGAACCATTTTCTACTTTTGAATTATATTCGTCTCTGTGTATATTGATGCTGTTAATTGTTTTCGCTGCAGCATTAGTTTCAGGAACCTTTTCAAAAATTGTTTTTTTTAAACCCATCGATCATAGGTGTACCTGTATAAGGCTTCAGATCGATGCCATACAGCCCGTTGGTCGCAGGATCCCACACGATATGAGGCAGGTAGTATGAAATGTACAGCCATAGTTTGATATTGATAGTACCTGCAGCGTTTGATTTAAATATATGACCCCGTATGTATGTATCATTGTTCGATATTTGAAAACCGAGTCTTAAGTTCAATGGATATTGTTTTAACAACTGAAACACGTCCTTGCCTGGTATCGCATCGCAGAGATGCAGGGCTCGAATCCCGCCAGGACTTGTTTGTTTTGCAAACTTTAATATTCCGCTTATTTTTTTTTGCCACAGCGAAGATTTTTTTTGTAGTTAAAGCAATCTTCGAAAGCGTTTTGGTATATTCCTTTAATGGTGCAGGTAATTAAGGTCAAAGAAACGTACTTTTTTGACATAAGTTTTTTCGCAAGATTTTTTTTGAGGTATTTTGTGTTATAATTCTCTTCGTGGTCTCAGGAAAGCATGAATGGATCCTTGCCACAATCAAGAAGTTTGAAATCATAGTTTTTTTTATGAATCAAGAGAATGTTAGATAATGGTTTGGTTGTGCTCACTCTTGAAATATTGTTTTGAAAATTTAGAAATTTTTGAAATTTTAAAAAATTGTCTGTTTTGTACCGTCATTTATAACGCCTGAACTGGCATTTATTTTTGTATCACAAGTGATGCGAAGCTGCGCTTCGTCTGTGTTTTTTTAGGGTCAAATATTGAAATTTTTGTCGTGCCCTCTTTTTCGTCAATTCCGAGCAGTTGGTACAAGTCCACGTAAAGATAAACTGTGTCGTTCAGCATATTCGGATGTGGGGTATGTTTTGTAGTTAGGTTTACAATTGAAGAGACCCAGTCCTCTTCCTCCGCGGCCGACCAGAAGGAGCTGTTGGATGTCGAGACCTTTTGCCCCATCATCAGAATAGTTGGAATTGAGTACAAAATGAGATGCTTCCATAAGTTGTTCGTCTTCATTTTGAGCTAAACTATCAGTTGCTTTTTTATATTTTTTATATTTAAATATGAATGACTGGTTAATATTAATCGTACGAGCGAGAAGCGCGTCTGTTTTTGTTTTCAACTGAGTGATTACGGCAAAATGGTCGCACTTTCTGGCTAGTTTTTTGTCGCTCCAACGACAAGTTTTGCACTTAGAGTACTGGCTTTGTATTGCTTGTAATGTTTTTGGTAGACATCTTAAACGAAATGTTTTGCTTCGTCTATTGTAAACAATACTAAAAAAGAAACACTTTTACTAAGCAAGAAAGCTAATGCAAAGTCTTTCTCACCTTAGAAATCTATGGTTTTCCACTGTATAAAAAGTTTTTTTCATAATTAATACATTTTGGCGCCTTATCAAGAGGCGGAGACTGCTAAACTGAAGATAATTGTTCATGTATGCCCTTAATATTCCTGCATGTCTATCAGCTGGCGACGAGATGTGTTTCGCAGTGATTGTTAAGAGTCAGTGAACAACGTAGTTCAGACTTTGTTATATATCGCGATGTTTTTTTTTCTTTCAGGAAAAGCCTTTAAATTTGATCAGGCTCAAATTTGAGTTTTCGCGGTTCGACTTCTAAAATTTGGTTCATTTTATTTTTTAAGCGAATAACGTGATCGACTTCTAGTTTTGAAAGTGGATTTTTTTAATTTTCAGATTTCCAGCTGAATGAAAAATTTGCCTATTAATCAGTTTTCTCAAATTGGGGTAATTTTATCAAAAAAAGTGTCAATCATGAATTCTTGCTCTAATTTATAGAGCTGTAAGGTCATCTATTTTGTTCTTCGAAATTGGAAAATTCAAAAAAAAAATTAGTCATTCACTCTTTTGAATTTGCGAAGCCATGAAATCTGCTTTCTGAATCTACTAAGCCGAGAATTTTGGCTAAAAATTAAATGGTGAACATGGAATATGGATAGAAGCTACTTACTTCTTTAAAATATTTGATTTCTGGTCTCATTTAAAGCAATTCGGGTACTTCGGCAACTAGCAACATAAAGAACTCGTAAAGTTAGACAAATGTTTCAAAATTATTTGAAATGCGGTATTGGCAAGCTGAAACTTGATATCATATAGATAATTTGATAAATGTGGTCGGAAAACTAATTTTACAGCAACTGGTTGGCTCGATATACCTTTTTACCTATGATTATTTTGCTTACGCTTGCCAAGCGTAATCAAATCTGATCATAGATATTTTGGTGATCAAATTGTCTCTCAGAATTGCTGCATCAGTGTTACCAGTTGCTTTATTTATTTATGTTTCGTTTTTGTTTTCATCTTTTTCGAAATTGTTGGAACAAACCATGGCCGAGGTTGTTTTTTGTTTTTCATGCCATTTTGATTACCTAAATGAATACTCACAGGGAATTGAATGCGGTTTTATGTTTTGATATATTTGATATAAAAAGATATATAAAAAATTCTGTTTCGAGAAATACTGGGCTGAGAATTTCTACTAATTTTTAGCTGAGTTGGCAAGTAATTTGTACTCTGACTTTCTAGTAGAATTGTTTAAGCTTTAATTAAACTTATTTTTATGCGCAAACAAGAAGTAGCAGTTTTTACGGGAACAAATTCGGGCAAGAACTAGTTGCTTGACGTTTGACTGTGAAAAAAGATTCTAAAAAACTTTCGTGGACGTCTTAATTCACGCGTGTTAAGCTGAACTAAAAGTGAATGAGCGAAGCGAGAGTGAGCAGAGTGGTTATTTCGTTCTGCTGGTTGTTTTATTTGGCTGGTTTTCATTTCGGTTGTCTTATTTGACTGGTGTTTACTTTTGGTTGTTTTATTTCTTGTTTACTTTGGCTGATTTGTTGGTTGTTTTATACGACAGCCTTATCTTTTTGGGTTAATATATTATATAACACTAAATTATTAAGTGTCAATGAACGTAAAGAAGACACTTATATAGGTCATGATGATTTTTTATCGTTTTTTTTTTTCAATAAGTCTAATTTTAATCAAGCTCAATTTTGATCTTGTGCTGTTTGATTTTTGTTTTAGTATCAAGTTCAATTCAATTTCATCTCCAGTTAAAAAGATTCCGATGGGGCGAGAAGTTGTTATTGACTTAATTCATTTTTTACCGAGAAAACTTCAAAACTTGTTCAGGCTCAAGTTTATTTTCGCGGTTTGACTGTTGGTTTTATTAAATTCAGTTTTATTTCTTTTTTAAAAGGAAGACAAATCCAGTTCTGAACACCAAAAGTTTAAAGGAATGTGGTTTATTTTTCAGATTTCCCTGCCAAATAAAAAAAAATGCTGATTGATTCAGTTTTCTCATTGGGTTATTTTTATCAAAAAAGTGTCACTCATAAACTGTTCTAGAAATTTAAAGATCATCTAAGGCAGTCTGTTTTTTTTGAAGATCGAAAGTGGAGGTTTTTTCAGAAAACAAGCTCGCTTTTGTTCAGCTTTCTATCCGATCGATACATTGAACCTTATTTAACGCTGATGCTTGTGTTTGTCGACTGTTTTTTTTTAAATTGTTTTTTTTTTCTTTTTCTTTTTTTTTAAATTTCAATTCAGTTTCGTTTTCAGCGTAGTGATTTCCGTCATTTTTTTCCCGCTGGAATGCAATACTAAACTTGCGTTGTAGTGCAAGTGTTACAAAGCTCTAGTTCGCCTCTGTTTAGAAAGTCATCAACAAGTAATTTTTTGGGAGAATCGTGAAAGAATTCTATTCAATACGATATTTCCGATTGCTGTTTTTAAAGAGTAATGAACGTAGCGAGTAATCGTCCTTCTGTTTAAGAGTAATGAACTTAGTGAAGACTCTTATATAGGTCTTGCTGATTTTTTGTTTTTTTTTCAGGAAAAAGTCTTAAAATATTGATGCACTTAGTATAATGCATTTTTGAGTTCAATTGAAATTCATCTGCTGAAAGTGACGTAAATAGCACTCTCCAAATATGAACGTAGAAATGGTGCGAAAAAATGTGAACGATTTCTAGTTTCGAAAAGGGAATTTATTTTTAAGATTTTCCAGCGGAATAAAAACTTTACCTATTGATCCAGTTTTCTCAAGTTGGGTTCATGATATCAAAAAAGTGCCAATCATAAGTTGTTCTAGAAATTCAAAGAGCTTAAAGGGCATATTTTGTTCATTGAATTTCGAAAGTCGTGATTTTTTTCATTGAAGTCAGTGTTTTTTTAATGTTTACTTGCGTTCATTTCTCTTCCAATCTTCGATTGGCTGTTTACTTTTGTCGGCTGAATTCCTGTAGCCCGCGTTTTTTGAAGGTTCAGTGACGACAAAGCCCTGGTAAAGTCCCTCAAAAAGGAGTTTTTCTAAAACGTTTGACTTCCTTTTAGTATTCTGAAAACTTCTTGTAAAAATTGTAATGGTGCGGATAGTTTGTTTCCGGATATTTTGGGCCTTTTCTTTGCGGTTTTTATAAATTTTTATAACTAAAACGATTTTTCGAAGGTTTTTGTTAAATTTTTGATTTTCTTTTATTCGATTTTAATCATGGTCATTCATTTTTGCATCGAAAGGGGTACGAAGCTCAGCTGCGCCTCCGTGGATTTTGTTATGATTTAGGATTCTCATCTTGTCTTAACTTGTTTTGTTTGTATAGGCCAAGATTTCTTGTTTTTATTCTTATTGCTCTGGGTTTTTTTTAACGTTTTTTTGTACTTTTTTTGTTTCGAACTTCGCGTCTGTGTTCAAGATAGTTTTTAATATGTTTTTGCGATAACTAGTCTGAACATTGTGCACTTTTAGCTCTCCAAAGCTGCGTTTGCGAATACAAGTGGAATTTGAATCCTGCTCTAGATTTTTTTACCGCAAGTGAGTGCATTAGATTCGAAGTTCTTCTTTGACTGTGTGAATTATTAAGCTCATCAAAGTCCCTGAGAAATCTTCTGGCTTGGTAAGATTAACTTGATTTTGTTTGAAACATGACAACAAATTTTAAAGTTCCAAGTTTTCGCTCCTATTTTTGACTTTTTCAAATCCGTGTATCGTTCGCTTGAAATCTTTTATGGCTTAAATCATCATTACAGGGATAAGCTTGTGATAAGTTAATTCTTGTTTTGCAGCTTGCGACAATTTAATGAGACTCAGAATGCAATAAAATGGTAGCCCTTATATGATACATTATTCATGCTACCTGTTTAAGTCTTAGCACTATCTCGCTCGGCTTGACCTCTAAGTTATCACCACATCCCGCACTGATTCTAATTCCCCAATGAGTTTTTTAATGCTGGCAGGTCGCCGGATATATAGCCACTTGTTTGCCCCTCTCACGCTGATTTGGTTATATTTTAGTCTATTTTTTTTGGATTATCGAATTATTTCCAAAAAAAATCGTGTTCTTTCAATTCTATGTTTTTTCTATGGAGGTGATAAATTGCAAACAGAATTTCAATTTGTAATTTGGGCATATTGGAATTATTCTGAGTCAGTCATTTTAATGTCAGTTGGACATTTGTACATCTGTTCTGGTATTCTTTTTTTAAATTTTTTTTGGCTATACCGTTTTTTAGCCCGGTTTCCCGAATCCCGCAAATTGACAGAACATCAACTGATTTTGTCATGCTTAGTGGTATAAATAGAAAAAGTGAGTGAGATTAGCCGTTGGTGATTCCTTTCATCGTTGTCTATTGTTAGAACACAATAGATGCATGCAAAATTATTCTTTTTACTTTTCAGAAGGGATAATTTGTTTAACAATCAGGCTTCTTTTATTAGCTCATTCTTACAGTCCTATCAGGGTATAAAACAAAAAAAAAGAAGACTAAATCAGTGACGTCCGAAAACCCACCAGAAGGTCACATGACGTTTTTACAGGTTTATGATTAAATGATTGTAAATGCTGTTTTTTAACAATCATTAATGTCATAGAAGCCTGAAAACCGTTTGTTTTCATTATTATTATGATTTAACTTTTATGTTTGTTTTTTGTTCTGACTTTCGCAAAAAACGACGGAATATTTGTGCTCGGGTGCTTTTTTCTGCTGACAAATTTAGAATTTTTATTTAGCAATTTTTTATACGAAAATTTTTCATGCTATCTTACCCAGGGCTCAAAATTAAAAGAGACTAGCCAGCGTGTCTCCAATGATCAATCGGTTCGCAAAAATTTGTTGTTC